ACACAAGCCTACTTAAAGGCCACTCACCAGGCCCCATACCAAATTTTAGTTAGACAGTGGAAGTTGCTGGGTGTCCGGTGAGGAACATTTTGCCAGAAAAATTTTTTGAATCGGTTCATCACGAGCGGAGAGAACGGGTTTATTGAAGCGGCGCGAAACGCGGATGAGAGGAGGCGAGCTCGAAACCCTTGCCGCTCCTCCGCGTAGCCTTCGCAAGCCAAAGCTCTTTCCCATCCTCTCAGGCATCCGACCGAAGAGGTCACGTGCGCATGACGTGCCCAACAAGTCCAACCCCCGAGCACGCGAGTGGCGTTGCTTTGTTGACCAGCGTTATTTTGTGGTCTTCTGCCTGTTTCTGCGGGATCGTTCGAAAACGCTGGCGCTGTGGAATAGATGAGCACAATGAGTGCGCGAACGCGCAGGTGTGTTCCACAGCAGTTGTCTGCTAGATGCGCTGACTGCGGGTACACGAACGCATGCGAAACGCCGACACATTGGCCCCGCATCTCGTTGCAATTCACGAGAAAAAAAATGAAAAAAAAAAGACGCTCACATTCTCTTATTGTGTCTCATTGTTTATCTAGAGCTTTATTATTCTCCTCAAGCAACAAATTACATAAACTTCGCATGCCGTGTTAAATAATTTTCGCCATGTCACGTGCCACTGTTTGTAACGTCAGAGCATAGTCGTCTACGTAGAGGACCAACGTCACTGCATTGCCGTGTACGTAGGGCCATTCATACGCGCACGTCATGCCCTCATTCCCTGGGCACGCGCCGGCAGAAGGGATGGGGAGATGCGTTCATCTTGAAAATTGACCGATTTTCGTGGCGCATAGCGTTGCAAATTTTGGCAGACGTAATCATGAACGCCTCGTCTATGCATTGCGCTTGCCAGCTCAAAATAGTCAAACCTGGAGGGTGGCCCTTTAAAATTAGGGGTGTGTGAATATTTGGAAGTTTCAAATATTCGCTGAATATTGCCCTTGTAATATTCGTATTCCATTCGATAACCACATACTTAAAACTTTTGAACATTCGAAATAACTCGAATCTTCCTCAAATATTCGATGGTCACAAATATCAATTCGCATGTGTCACTGTGAAAAACTTACGATTTTGCTAATTTGTGAGAAGAGCCTCTGTAGATGATACAATGATTACTACGACTTCAACATGAGTGCAGCGATTCTTGCATGGAAATTTATGGGAGCGTGGTGACTGCTACCGACAAATGCGATGGCATGTCATCGTGACAATACCAATCTTAATCAATCAAGTGCCCTTGCCGCCCGAAGTTGTGGCTCCATTAACAAAAAGGCACATTTGGGGCGTCTTTGTTTATCACACATCAGTAATCATGTATATTGCGTGCTTACATCACGTTATTGTTGCGTTCCCGGTACACCTTGGTCACGATCGTGTAGCTAACAGAGCAACACAGCATTTTTTATCGGAAAATGCTGAGAGCACAGTCCTCGAGAAAGGCAATGGAAGTAGGCGAGATAACGAGTATTGCTGTGTAGTTGAAAAATGCCCCAAGTACTCCTATTTCTCTTAGTTGCTTGAATGGTGAAAACAGGAAAGAAAAAATAAAAATAAAACTTCAAAATTGGGGGTTTTTGAGCCAGAACTACTGGTGTGAGAACCAGGATGAATTGTGGCCACCTAGGCTGTTTCAATAATCACTTAGAAAGAAGTACACGGGTGTTACCTGTGCCATGTTCATTCCTCAAGTTTTCTTAACACCTCAATAAGCTGTACACAATTCTCAGCCCAAACCGCGCTTACCATTTAAAACAAGCTTCGAGGCTGTAGTGGATCGTTGTGTGAAGATTACAGCCACTGCATGAACCTTTCAGATTATTCTGGAACCTACGTTGCCATTAGTGATAACGCTTGATGTTTGATGGCAAGTATATAAATTCCGACATGCTCCACCGTTTGACAGTTGATTGACGGCCGATGCTCCGTTCCCCCTATCAGTGCAAGACTGTTACTGTAATCAGACTTTCCGTTTACATGGCACAGGTTCGCCCAAATAAACAGTTTGGTCTCAACCTACAGTGTGCTGTCTTCGGCCCTGTCACGGCCCTGTGACACCTGTTACACAATCAAACAATTAACCTCATGTTCGTTAGTTATTATGGCATGTACGAAAGCTGTATTTTTTTTTTGTAATAAAATGTTACCGCATAAAAAAGGTTCCCAGAGGTTTGTTCAACCTGTGAATTGAACCCAACCCATCACAGTCACAAGCTAAACTATTACAGTCTTATGCGTTCTGGCAATAGAGTACAGATGGTGACATTTTTTTATTTTTGAGTGTAATAACTGACTTCAATAACAATTGCACTGTTTCCAACATAAATATATGATTGAGTGAAAGATTACTGGTGGAAAAAATTTAACCTCTTTCTTATTCAATATTCGATTTACATTCAAAGCTATGCATTCGTATTCGATTTGTATGCGAAAATTTCTATATTTGCACACCCTACCTTAATATACATTATTAATGTAAGCAACATTCATATACAGTGGCATTTTAGGCGATGCATTGGTGATTTAGAGATTTTGGTGCGGCGGCAGCGCAGTTGATAAAAAACCAGTGCCAGCGAGTGTGCAGAAATGCAGGTGCACGCAAATGCAGCCCTCGAAAGTGTGCCTGTCAAATGCCTATTTTCATGTATCGTTCATAATGAGTTTTCCATCGATCAGTCGTTTCTGGATGGTAATTTCAACTTTTGTCTAGGTCACTTGATGCTGGCAGAAGTCAAAGTTTTCTTTCATCGTTTCATGCATGAGTGTCGTTGCCTGCGTACACAGAAATGTAGCGCTGCTAAGCACATGGAAGCACTAACACAAAATTTTAAAGGCAAGATAACTTGTGGAATAGATTTGCGCAGATGCACACGCATCATATGCAAAATATTAATGAATAATATAGCACAGAACATATTTATTATCAATAGCGAAGAACATATCACACAACTGCGCACAAAACATGCCTTCGGTTTTCGTGTAAACAAAAGTTTGTGTTGGCTGCAGTGATCCTTTCGAGTGCTTTCTCCTTTTCAACAAAAATAAGGGGCACACTTGCAAGGGAGTAATGTTTGCCTTGGCAGTGCATTTTCGGACGCATACTTGGATGCAAAAGCGTTAAATCCGAAGTGACGAACAGCCGAAACAGGGCAGCAATGTCCACATGGCTGCCTTCATCAGTTACACACTTCAGTTTCACACACATGCTAAACTGATGCTCAGGTTTTTCTTGACCTGGTGCAATGTCACAAAACATGTTGGAATCTGCTGAAAATGAAGACCTTTCATCCACAGTCTGCACGCGAACATGAAACTCGCCCGATACATCATGGTGGACGAGCAATCACTTTCTGTCCATTTTGCCAGTAAAAAAACTACTATCACAAGCACATGACGGTGGCGGTGGTAATAAAGGAAGCAAGGTGCGGAGGACGCGTCAAGCTACTTAAACACAGGAGTCTTGTGACATGATCACATAGGAAATGAAACTGCATTATAACAAATATAGCAGCTTTTGCACTGCCCTTATGCAATACAAGTGTAGGATTTGTGCATTCATCAACAAATGAAGGTACACTGATGTAACAGGCATTTGTTTTCTTGATATGTACTTTCGACAATTCGGCATTTATTTATTTCAGACTTTTTCTGGTCCCGCGAAATCTGAATTCATGAGCTTTTGCAGTACTAGCAGAACTGGAAAACAGTGTTATGGGCATGTTGGTGTAGCACACAGTGCAAATAACGACAGCAAGAAAACACAGCGTCGAACTTGAGTGCTTGTTTTCTAGCCATGTTCCCATTGTTCTTTGCTATGAGTGTTGGGCAAGAAAAAACAAGAAGGAAAATTTCTCTGTACTTTAAGGTCCCTTTCCCACGTGGAGGGAAGAAGCCAGCATGCAACAGAAAGCCAAAGAAAAACAGTTCAAATAGGCATGCCATGCTTCGGTAGACTCCTTTTTCCCTGATAGGTGTTTGACAAAGCTTTCATTATCTATACAAGACAGGTGACATACAACAAGACATGGCTATAGAGCATTTACGAATACCTGCAAAATCAGCACACGTGAAAAAATGAACATGCACACTTTCCCTATTGCCCAGCTGTCTACATAGATTCCCCTGTTCTGACATCATTAAGACTAACGAGTGTCAATGCATGAGCAAGATTGATAACCTGTGCTAGGCTCCCCAAAGTTCTTATCTCAGATGGACAAGTGTGTCCAGAAAACCAACAAACAAGTGCTCATCTGGACTCAACAATCGCTAGCATTTTTCACCCCTTGGACACTAGATTGATGGGTTGCCGCAAGTCCAAGCCAACGTTACGTGAGTAAGTTGGCCTAGCAGCAATGCTTCCTGTACATGCTTGTCACTTGAAGGGGTCCTGCAACACTTTTCCTAGTAGCCAGGTAACGGCTTCACTAAAGAAGTTTATTGCCTCACGGACCAACTATCACAAAAATATTTAGAATAAGCCCAGTATCAGCTGAGTTGCAAAAATTTGACGCACGCTGCAATTGTGTTCCCTCTGCTTTCGTTCCGACAAAAGAACTGGAAACTAAGCAGGGAGAGATAGCACGGAGAAAGAAGGTACATTACATGCCTCGTGACCTTTAGCACTTCCGTTCCTCAAATGTACGGCTTTTCAGTGCAATTGTGCTTGCATGCGTGGACAGCCTACTGTGGTGGACTCAGGAATGGTCGAGCGTGCCATGCTCAAATAACTCAATGGCTGATACTTGGCCTGCGACGCAGTGATTTTTGAGCCTGTGGTATTATTTGTCAAGAGAGGACAGCGTGATTTTAAACTGACTTTGACAATTTATTGTAAATTCAAGGCGAGGTGCAGTGCTAGCCTGTTCCCAGGAGCCTCTACTACTGATCAGCTACCGATTTTCTGATCATGCTCAAAAAGGCTTCTTTAAAAGCATTGGTTGGCCATCTGCACTTACCCGAGCTTCCCCCTACTCCTTCGGCAACACCAATCTTGACGTCCTGCAATCGAAGGCAACAAAACCTTGTACTGTAAAAACATACACATGGCACATTAAAAAATACTGCAAAATTCCAAGGAAGCACCCCCTCAAATTTCCCAATTAAGGGGGCAGACTGGTCTTAGACATTTTTTGTTTATTTCTTCCGTGATCTTGATAAAACTGCACAGGGTTATATAGTTTTTTCTGCTGATTTCAAATATGTAATTAGTTTTCCTGTAACTCACTTTGTTGCTGAGATAACTTAAGTTCACTCCCTATTGTTTAAGGCCACCATAGAAAAAAAAGTGCTTAATTAAAAGTGATATTTAGGATATGCCAACATAGTAATGACTATAGAGTGAAAGTATGAAAGAGGTTTTTGTTTTTAGACCTTTATTGGTCATTTTGCAGCAAAATGAACCATACATTTTCAAAAGCAGTTGGAATTGTGTTACTATTTTGATTAGTAATTAATTAAACGGGCATGTGCTCTAAATTTTGCTCCCATACTTGCATTCTACACACATACAGGTTTCCACTGCAAATAGAAATATTGTTGTACCTGCCCTAGCTGCAGAGATATTGAGGCCTTAAAATTGAATAGTCACAAATTTACTTTTTTGAGAAAAATGGAAAAAACTGAAAACACACAGTTTCTTCAAAAAGCAACGATCATGGTGCGCATGTTTAGCAATCCTCACGAAGGCGCTCATAAATTGGTAGTAGAGCTTTAGACAAAGGTGCTGCAAATTATAAAGAAGCCTCAAACTCGCTTCCCCATTTTTTTTGCAGGTTCTGCATGTTAACAGCACCAAGAATCTGGACAGTTAAAATGACATTACAAAAAAATTACTACTTCTTGGTGTGTGAAAATTTGCAGAGAGATAGAAAAATACTTGCAGAAACCAAATATGTCAATTTTAAAAAATGAATATTTTTGTCACTTTTTGGTCCCAAAGAGCAGTCTGCCCCCTTAAATTTAAATTTATGTGTCCTTCTGGAAAAGCTCCCCTTCCTACCCTGTCAAGGCTTCATCTTAAAGTACTTGGGCCTCAAATGTTTTCAAGTTTGCCATTTTCATAGCCTTCCCCGAGTTGCAAACACGACGTTTGTGCTCCGTCAAAGAGTTGTAAGGCCGCTTTTATAAAGCGTGCACTCGCGAAACACGTGCATGGGACCCTTGAGCACTCTTTCCAGGTGTAAGTAAAACTTTCTACTTGGTTTGCATGCTGTGCGAATTTTTTTTAAGTCTAGGTAACGAATTTATTTTCTCAGTGCCGAAAATCTTTTGTGCAATTCTTTCATAATAATGACCAAAAATACTCATACAGTGTGTACGGTTCGCCCTACAACCAACTGAACCCCATTTGGTTACAAAACGTATGCTCTCACAAATTTTAGTCCTATGTTGACGGCAGTCACTCGATAAAAGACTCAAAGAAGGTGCACATTATAAATGTACTTCTACAATACCGCCATCACATCGGGTAACCGTCAATTATAGTTAAGCGCCATCCACTGAAGTTTATTTATGTAGCACTGTCAAAGATTAGCATCCTCACGAGCACAAGCGCGACATATCTGCTTAGTGCTTCTGGTGTTGTTAACAACCATGCTGATATTAGCATCATTACTTACACTAATAAAGGGCACAAACACTTGGTTGGACTCATCTTCTGAGCTGGAAAAGAAAAAAACAACTATTAGGCAAACATACCAGTTTCAAATTTATACATAACAATATCTGATTCAATAATTAAGTTTAACAAGCAAATTTATACTATTTGTGCTTGTGAAAAATTCCACATGATGAGCACCGAGAACGTGGCAAATATCGGGACTTGGCGTGGTGACAAAACTCACCCGAATGACAAGAAGGGATATTGTGGAGATGATTGCTGTACTATTTCATGTCCAAACCTAATGAAACTGAATAAATAACAGCTTTTTCAGGCTGATTTCAAATACGCATTAGTTTTTAATCGAAGTAAACTGGTTTACCAGATAGACAAAGCTGCATCTTTCTTGTTTTTGCAGAATTCCGAAAATTAATTGAAAGCTGTACATCCACACTAGAGTTGTTGTCAAGCCTGCAGTCTTGATAATTTCCATGCACAGCGCTTTTAGCAAGTCCCTGACATTCATGCAATTCTTGTGGGTCGCAAGAGCGTTGGCCATGATCATGACCCAATGATATCGCTACTTGTAGCCAAAAGTAAAAGGACACACACACACACAAAAAAAACGACTTCGTGTAGATTGACAGGCTGTACTCTGAGGTGCCTGACCATCATAATTCATTATTAGAGAAGAAAATAAAGGTTTAAGTACCATTTTAAAAGTTCATGCCGGAATATCTGCCATAGGTAATATTTCAAGATGTATTTCTCATATTTTTGTGACATTGGCTGGATCAATTTTTTTTGAAACTTTGTATGCTAGGTTTATGGCACTCACAAATGACAATGTCCTGCATTTTTATCAATTAGAAGCTATGTAGAAGCTGGTAGAGACAAAATCTATGACATCACAATGTTTGGTGTAGGAATCTCAAGGTGACGTCTCCACTGGCATTTTCTTTTCGCACCTTTCCTTGCTTACCAAGCGACGTGTGGCGCTAAGAGTGGTGTGCTAGGACTGTGAAATTGTAATTTACAAGTCTATGGTCGTGAAATCAATGACAACAGGTTTGAAAAAAAAAACACCAGTTGCAGTTGATTATTAGTACAACGGACTGGGTGCCACCAAATACCCTACAAAAATGTAAAGCTTGCTCTTGGTCCGAGCCAGAAAACACGCATTTGAGCTGAACGCTCAAATGCGGAGGCTGTAAGAGAAAACACATCACAGTATTTTCAAGTGAAAACAATGCAAGCCACAAGATCACTTAGGTTCTGAGGAGTCTATACCATAATTTAGCACAACTCGGTAATCCCTCCAAACATTCATGTTGTGTTGGCTAGGAGTGCCAGCGTTAACCCAGAGGCAGGCTGGTGGAGAGGCCAAGTGATGGGACGGAGTGTACAGTGACGACGACACAAAGACGGAGACTAAATGCTCTCCCGCATTTATTGAAGGTGGTCTTATGAAGAGCAAGAAGAATGATTGGCTAGCGTGACGTCACCCCGCCGGGTAGCACAGATAAAAGCACATCAGTGCATTAAGTTGACCAGTGGATGAGCCTCCACTATATTTACTTGCATAATTTGTGCACCTCTGGTATTTGGCCAGCTTTACTACAAAAAGAATACTCTCATCAAACTCCAAGGAACCTGTGAATTTTGTTTGAATTATATGCCTGTGGGTACACCACACATTATCATTAGGCATTCATTTTATCACATTTAAACATTTTTTAGGCGTTTTCAAACCCTAACTGCACCCAATGAACAAAAAGAAGAGTTGTAAGGTCCACAAGTTTATGGGCCATTCACTGCTGATCAAACCTTTTAAAGAAATCTGTGAATTGCCAACTGCTTTTTTGCTATATGTGCCTTCAGCACAAACCTCCCTATACCAGTTGAGAAGCATCAGGGTACATAGATGTGCTTCATTTGAAACATTTGATTACTATCAAAGCATTTTTCCTCAAAGGCCTAAGGCCCTTATTCGTTATTTTTACACTGTTAGGATGATATACGCATAGAAATATTTAAATGGTGGGAAAGCAGCAGATATTTTCTAGTATGAAACTGCAAAAAGTATGAATTAACCAAATGATGACCTTGAATTAAGACGTTTTTAAATGCAATAAAAGTATAAAGGGCCAACCAAAAAATTCAATTTTGTTTGAATTATTTGAAGCTAGGAATTGTCAGAGTTTGAATTATCGAGAGTCTACTGCATTTACTCGCATATTTCGCACTCCCCGACTCACCCGAGCCAGCTCGTCGGTACGCACACGAAGAGACGTTGAACCTTTGGACGCTTTGGGCAAATGTGCCCTTCAGTGAGCAAGCAAGCTTAGCCCTACATGAAACGAGCAGCGAGAGCCAAGTCCTTTCTTCCAAAGACTTTCCTCAAACTACGATCCCTAGAATATCGAACACATCCACCGAAATGGGTTGCCAGATATGCTGGAGCCTTCCTCTATTTAACTCCCCCATTTCTTCCCCCATAAAAATGCAAGTGCGCGGCACAGCATTCTGCACTAGAGGCATGCGAGGGCATATCAGGCCAACTGTTCCCCTGGCTCTCTGAGTTCGCTCTGTTACGCATTGTTGTTCAGAAGTTTAGGTTTTGCCGTTCATCCGTTGCGTTTTTATTGTTGCCTTGCAGTTGACTACAATAACTATATATGTATACCATATGATGAAATTCTTGTTTGTTCTTACAACATTTGCTGAAGGAGACACAAACTGTGCCGTCACCAAGTGCATTAGCATAAAGTTCTTAAACCTGCAACATTCGCTACGGCAGAAAGTAGAAAAGTGTGCGCTTGCTAATACAAGTTTCCCGCAATCGAAGACGACTTTTTCAATTATATAAAAAAGATTAGGTCCTCAGATATTGCTGTGTCGATCGTGGGATCCGTTTTCTTCCAGCACTGTCAAGAGGGGCATGAATAAATGGGGCATTCGAAGGCACTCAATGAAACTGACGATGATGCACTTCGGGAGGGCTGTGACAGCAGTCACCATGATGATTATTAGTCAGACCTCTTGGCTAGTAACTCTGACTAGACTGTGTACGATCGAATCTGGTTGCTAACTGAAATGTGTGGCAATTCTGTTAAAAAAGGGGGGGGGGGGGGATGACATTAATTTCAGGTCTGGCGGTCACATGCCACCAGTTACCAACGGGGTGGGTGCTCTCCCAAGCGACTACAAGTTCGTTCTGCAGAGCACCAGGCCAGAAACGCGCTTGTACCTATTTAGCCAGTAGGCACCTGGCGGCAGCAATTCTCTGCCTCCCATAGCAGCAGCGGATGCTCAACTATTTCACCAAGGCTGTGGTGAGTTTAGGTACGCCCAGGGGCCTTCGCAGAACCTTATGGTGCTACATTTCGTGATGAGTATCCAGAAACAACCAAGCACCGGGTTGGTGTACTCCTCTACCCATTGGGAAAAACCAGTGGGTTCCCAGTCGGCACTGGAAACCGAACCGGTGCCTCCAGCATTAGAAGCAGACACTCTAATCATGTAGGCACCGCTGCGGTGGCTATATAGTAGCGGCTGCTGACTGAAATATGTGGCAATTCTGTTAAATAAACAAGTGCCCTTCGCTTATGTGTCAATTTAGTTTCCTTTTTTCTTTAATCCATATACCACATGCGTTAGGACTATATACTATTCCACATACCGTAAAAAGTGGTACATAGTGGTACATAGGTAAGAACAGAATATATAGCTCGACCCCCCCCCCCCCCCCCCCCAAACTTTGAATCTCTAAAAAAAAGAAAAAAGGTATCGCGACGCAATCTTACCTTGGTAAATACAACCAGCTGCACTGCGGTGACATTTCTATTTATTTGGACACTAATCCAACGTAGGTGAATGCCGGAAGGCCACAAAGTGCCGTCACTCAGACTTATCCGTACTCGAGTTTGACGACGTGTTTTTCACTACTAATGTCCCAGAGTGCATCGGCCTCCATTCTATCCGATGCGTTACTGATGGAGCATATGCAGAAAGACGGAAGTGTGCTGCCTCAGCACCAAGCCCTTTCACTCCATAAATCAGCGCAACCACAATGGCGATCCCTTGAATTGCCCTTCGTGAGCCCAGAGTTGAGCGCTTACTCGAGAGCTTTCACGCGGATGCACTTTGCCGTTACAGTTAGCAAGAAATTCGGCGACCAGCGTTTCAAGTTTGGGGTGCATTGCAGTTAGTCCTTGAAACGATGTTTTTTTTTTTTGGCTGCTGCAGGATGTGATGCACTGCTTATGGCTCCTTCAGTATTGAAAGCATTTCTCCGATGCACCGAATTCTCATTGTGCTGCCAGGTTGCTGTGGGATTTGACATATTCAATAATTTTTTTAAAAGCCTATCATAAACTGCCATCGAATACTGCTCATTTCCGAAGGAAATAGAAAAAGAAAACAGCAGACCGACAGCAGACAACTGAGGCAAAATGGCATTGCTAGAACACTATAGTCCTTGCTATCCATAGCCTTGCCTAACAGCACTGCTGATGTTCACTATGGCAAACAAGGCTTAGGACTTCAGCTGCCCGTCGTTGGGAGATTTCCCCCTTTTTTTTTTCTGCCTACGACTGGTATATAAGACGAGGGTCGACTTGTCATTCTGTTTTCACGAAAAAAACAAAACAAAAAAAACTCGACCTACATTTCAATTTTTACGGTACCCTTGGATGAATTGGCGAAATGTCTACATAGTTTGAGCACTCCCTTTTCAGAGCTACAAACTTGCAGAAAAGTGCGAAAATTATGCGAGTAGATGCAGTAGTTGAAGTTCAGCACCATTGTTCTTTCACAGCAAGAGTCCTGTGCTGGCAGACTTGATGCCTTCAGGTAGCATGAGAGGGTTAAGCAGTTTGGAAAAAAAATCACGTGCTACACATGATGCCAGCTGGAAGAAGGATACCTACAAAAAGCACTGACTAAAGCTCCCAGAAACGCACACGTCCGTCCGTCCGTCCCTCCGTCTGTCTGTCTGTCCGTCCGTCCGTCCGTCCGTCCGTCTGTCTGTCTGTCCATTTGTTCATACATCTAGTGAATA